GAAGATTTAGATGGGAATATATAGTAAAAATCTTTAAAACTCTTCTCTTCAAGAATAGAAAAGCCAGGATAAGCAATATTAAAGCATCCTCGGGTAGATTCAAGATTGTTCAAATCAAGAACCCCGATGGTAGTGTGGGTTCAAAATTGCTCAAATCAAGGCCCTCATGAATAGGTTGAGGCTACAATAATGGACCAGAAGCATCCCAGAATTGTGTGGATTCAACTTTATTTCAATCATAGCTCTCTTGTAGCTACGTGTAGCTTTTGGTCCACAATATGGAGTCATTTTTTAATGAAATTAATTAGAAAATTTTGAAATTAGAAAAATCAGCTTATGAAGAACATCAGGGTCAGAGTAACTCGGGTGAGAGTTGTGGCCCATGGGCCTCTTGTATATCATATGGATATCGGATGAAATGCTGTCTCTAGTCGATCGCGAAGGACTGTTATTGATAAACACTGTAGTACCGTCCTATACAATTACATGTATGTTTTGAACAATCTACATTTACAGTATTAAATTGTGATACTCGTAAGAATTATGCATAACTTTGCCGTTCACGGCCGTATGAACTGGAGGGGGTTGGGGGGGGGGGGTACGGGTGAACGCCCCCCAATAATTTTGCCATTATATAGTATACTATAGAAAAAACAGCTGCCTCATGCTTGTGTCCCCTTAATACATGTAATAACGTCTGATGATCCCCCTTTTCTTTGCTTGTTGAAGAAAAATTTGCTTGATAGTGCCCCCTCCCACTCCCAAAATGAAAATGTTGAGTTGTGCCCCCCTTTCACTGAAATTGCTTACTAGGGGTCGTTCTCAGGCCCATATGAAGCGATTTCAGTTGGGGTATGTTGTCCGCCCTGCACAACCCAACATTTTCAGTTTTGGTGGAAAGTACCAAGTAAAAATTCTTTGACAAGCTAAAAAAAGTCATGAGACGTATTTATTTATTGAGGGGGCACACTCATAAAGTAGTTTTGTTTTCTATATAGTTTATAGTTTTCTATAGTATGCTATATATATATGTATCAACAAAATTATTGGGGGCGCCTCCATACATCCCCCCAGTTCCTCCGGCCATGGTTCTTGTAGAGTCCATGCCAGCAATTTATGAATGTATCACCCCTACTAATGTGTTCGGAACATTTTATTTTTCGGTGTTCTGCAAATTATAAAATCCGAGGAGTTCCCAGTTGCTCTCACAGTAGCTCTGGCGAGATCTAGCGAGACTACAGCGAGATAAGGTAAATTATTCACGGAAACGTGGCTAGGAAGTGACTAGCACGTGGAGACATGTAGCCTGGTTCCGGCCTACCCATAATGCTACTGTGCGTAGCATTATGGGTAGGCCGGAACCAGGCTAGGAGACATGGTAAACAGAAAAGTTATCTTGCGTTTCATTTTTCACCACTGAATAATATATGTAAAAATGTATTTCAATCTCTCTTGAATTCATTCAAACGTCAATAAGTATTCTTCATTGCATTATTTTCTGCACTATCTATTAAAATTTCTTTTTAGACAAACATGCTTGCATGTGAAATGGGACTATATTTTTTAGCGTCAGAGTACATGTAGCAAATGGGGTACCAATATAGCTTAATCTGAACGAGTTGAATTGCATTGTGGGCTACTACGGATACTACAGGAATTTTACGCTTGAAAAAAAACCCAAGGCGATAGAAAAGGCACATAGGACATTCTTTTCCATGCATTTGCATGCTTTTCCGTGCTGTCCATTTTTATTCTATTATTTCCATGCTCGCAATTACAAACAATTCATTTGTAACACGTTTAATAAACGTGGAATTCTAGGTTTCTTAGTCATACTGTAACTAAGGCGATTTTCGTCTGTTATGTTATACTATCGGTGAATACAATTGTCAGGTGGGTTCCCTGACCAAAACAGATGATCACGGGTATTGTAATATGAAAAAAAAACTTTGTTGTCCATTTAACTGTTTAAGTGCCTAAGGGATGCTGCTTGTTTTCCTTAACCTTGAAGCGCTAGTGTTCTGAACGTGGCACAGAGTTCATTTTTATATGCATTTTATAGTTAACAACGTAGCAACAAATTACAAACGCCCGTGGCATCTTTCATAGTTGTATTTTTTCATAAAAACATGTTTTTATTATTTTTTTTTCAATCCATTTGATATCGATCATACACTGTGGATTGAGTTGAACCACGTGTTCGAAGTTAAATGTAAACATATAGGTGTCAAGTTAACGTTCCTGTTCATGCAATGATTGGTCAATTGCTCTGTGCGCATTAATAACAAAAGCCATATAAGGTAAACAAAGGTTTGTCATATACATTTTTTTCTACCAGTGTATCGGGCGATTTTGAAAAAGTAACAATACTAAGGCTATCGTTATTTACTGTGACTTTAACACATGGTCATTTGTGAATGTCTCTCTAACATCTTATATATAGTATACAAGCCTGTTACTCGTTAGCATTGCTTAAACATTTACATGGTGGGTAATATTTCTAATACATTGACAAATAAAATAATTGTGCTTGTTTAAATACAAGTAGAATTGCACCATACTGCACTCCGCTGCAATACAATGCGATACATTGTGATGCTTGCCAAATTGTCCAATCAAAAATAATTAGTCATTTTTTTTTCTTAATTGAATTTAAAAACTGATTGAATACACACACTTTTTTTCATTTTATGCTTTGAAAAAAAAAGGTTTCAATAACAGACTAGAGAGCATTTCTTTTATTCTCATATTCTTAAATATTTGTTTTCTTTGATATGAATCAAAATTAACGATCAAGAATTAAGTCGAAGGACTTTCGCAAAGTTACGTGTTACTGGGATTTTTTTTTTTTATCGAATGACTAGTTTGAGTATGCGCAAAAGATCCAAAAGAAATGAACACTCCTTTTTGACTGATGAGCTGATTAGTGGATTTTTTGTTTGCAAGAGAATTGATACTGTTTATCATAATAAGAATTTAACTGCATTTTATTGCACTGCACTACAATGCAATGTCAATCAATAAAATGACGTCCGTTTTTGTTTTTATATTATGGTATTGAAAATAAGGTGTAAATTAACATATTTTCTAACATATTTTTATTTTTTAAAAAGTTTTGAAAAACAGACTGGATAGAATATTTTCATTCACATTTTCTTAAATGATTGTTCTCTTTCATTCGAATCTAAATTAACAATGCAGTAATTTATTAATCTATCTCTCCCTTTTTTCCCATTTCTAGTTAACAAAAGAAATTAATGTAACTTATTATGAATTATTTCATCATGATTGTAAATCATTGTCAATTCTTAACATTTGTAACCTTGACCTTCTTGGAGAGGACTTATATAGGCCATGCCTGATGTCCAATCCATGCGCAATTATGTAAACTGACTTTACATAATAAAATACTGATTAAATTAATTAACAATGCAGTAATAATGTCGAAGGATTTTTCGACAACTGTTTTCATTGCTGTTTATTATTTAATGCAACGCCTAGTTTGGGTATATGAAAGATTAAAAAAGAGAAAAATCTCGAGTTTGTCTAATGAGTGTAAATTTTGAGAGTGATGCAGATAAGCACCAGGAAGGATAAACAGAATATATTCTGATAACAGTACTTAGAGCTAAGTTCTCATCAAAGAACAGTTCCTTTGGCTGATTTTTTTTTATTGAAAGACTGATATGGATATATGCGACACATGCCGAGGAAAATTGGAGTGTCGAGTGAAGTTCTTTAATTGCAAGCTACGGTAATTAATTTTGCTTTTAAACTCTTAAATAAGAATATAACTGTCCTACAATACATTGCATTGTAATGCTTGATGTACTGTCTAATTAAAACATACTTGGTCAATTTTTATTATTAGGCAAAACAGTGAAAAAATATATACTTTCGTGTTTGATTGATGAGTGAATATTTTGAGACTCAAACAAAGCGCCGATGACTAAGACGCTTTTCAATAACTGCTTAGCAGTACTTGTTTAGTGAGATAAGCTCACACTAAGTTCTTTACACGCGACATTACCCATAAAGCTCAAATTTTCGCCGTGAATTATCACAGAATCGAAGATTAAATAAGTAGATTGAAATTTTTTAAATCCCACTCATTTCCGTTTAAAATCGTAAAAATCTTTCAGAAAATTCTGGAAACACATTTTTTTAGGACATGTTTTTAAAAAAAACAGATTATAGCAATTTCCTGTTTACTGCCAATTTTATTTATAAAACCGGTTCTACCTTATAATCTTAGAATGGGTCAACATACACCACGTGTCTTGAATTTAAATCACAATAACATTGATGGGGGTGTATATGACCAATTCCGATCGATGTCAATGTTCATCAATTTAAATATTGTTGACTCTAACATCACATGATTATACTTGAAAACTAAAAATGTTCAAATACAGTTATAGTAAACTCGTTGTTTTTTTGGATGAAATTTATTTTAAAGAATGTAAAACTACTACATGTAATATGTTTGCTCTGTGAAACTTTGAATCTCCTTTTTACATCATATTAATACTAGTATAACTCATGAAAATTCCCCGTGTTTCGCGCCGTAAAAAAAGTACATGTACATCGATAAACTTCAGATTTAAAACAGTTCATGTGTTACTCAAAATCTAAGAGATTTGTAGACATTCTGAAATAATTTTGTTTGTGAATTCCTAAGAATACAGTGAAAATAAATTGCTATTTTGATGACTAGGCCAACATGTTTTTTCACTGATAAAACCCCTATTCTTTGCCCCTCATACATGTACATGTATGCTATGGACCAAGAATGATTTAATTTACTTTAATTTGTGAATGTTTCACAACTATAAAACAATAGCATACTGTTCTTTACAAACAAGAAGAGTCTTTACTCAGATGTATTTTCCTCATAATGTTTTTTTCCTTCTGTTTTTAGGGTATAATATCAGGTGACTCTGGTAAATTGAGAACCAGTCTACGTATAACTTAGCTAATACAATTGTTTACATTTTTTGGTACGAGTTAACATTACAAAATGAACAACGGGAAACATGTTCATGGAAAATTTCAGAAGAAAGGAGAAAGAGGATACAAAAACTTCATTGGAAACAAAACAGAAGGTAGTATTCTGTCAAGTTTTATGAAATTCTAAAAACAATTTCATCATAATGCTGAATAATCTAAGGCATTCATAGGAACCGAATTGTCTCTGTCACCATTATGAGCTGTTTCAACAAAATTGTCTATAAAAAACATGAATTAGAAATTAAAACGGAAGTTTTTTCTCACAAGGCCAGGGCTTTGCTGATAAAAGGAAGAGGAAAATACAACATGAATATCGGAAATTACTAAAGAAAGAGAAAAAGTCCGAGGTAGAGAGCACAAAACATGTCTCTGTTTTGGATGAACTTTCAGAAGAGGAGGAGACGCCCCCAGATGTATCCAAACAAAAGTATGACTAGAGCAAATAAAATCGTGTTTTTCTTAACTTAAATTCATTGGTACCAAGCTTTAGTATTACTAAGACCTGAGACTAATGTCAGAGAGACTAGTGTGATAAGGGAAATAACTTTTTTTTTAGCCGAGCATGTGTAGCATTATTTTGAAGAAAAAAGTTTTTTTTATCAATAGTAGAATCTATTGATTATGAATGCTTTATAAGTTTGTCGGCATCAATGACATGTCAAAGTATTAAAGTTACATGCCCACCTCCGTTTGTATTAAAAGTCGCGTGGTGCTATTTTTAGCACAGGAGCATGTCATGTGGAAAGTAAAAAAGCAGTTTATTTCATGCAATATTAATAAAGGTTTTCTTCAAACTTAAGATGATAGTGTTGTTATAGAAAATTGTAAATCTATAAGAACTATTTAGTAAGGGCTAAATTAAACACCACATGTTGTGCAAAATTTTGAAAATATCAAGGGTGTCAAGAACAAAGAATTTGACGTTATAAGGACAATGGAAATCTGTGGGGTTTTTGTACTTAACACAAGTATTTGTTGGTCTAACAAAATATTTTTAGAAAAAAAACCTTTGAGAAGCAGTGAATAACATGAAAAGCAACAGCTTGAACAAAGTATTTGGATTTGCATCCAATATACATGTATTTTTATTTATGCATATATATATAAGCAGTTATGTGTGGCATGTACAAACATTCTTATAAATTCATTATTACAATGTGATGAATATTTTATACAAAAAGAATCTTCAGTTTACATTTTAAAGAAAAAGCAAGCAAATATGTTCATATTAGCATTAACAATGTGATTTTTTTTTTTGGGGGGGGGGGGAGGGGAGAGTATGTAGATGTTTACAGTAATACAAAATAAAAAAGAAAATCTGCCCACCTGCCCCAATTTTCAAGCAAATTAGGATGAGAATCTAAACTTTAAATTTATATGGCCTAATGGTTAGAATTATGTGTACCCCATGTCTGGTTAAAGAAACACATTTGCAGTAAAAAAAATATATTGTGTGTCAAAAAGGCTTATTACAATGAGCAAATAATTTTTGTGGATTAGTAGATTTATATTCATAAAGCTGTGTCTGTGGAAATAAAATTAATTTTACTTACAATCTTCATCTACTTAAATACTAAGTATTCATTGAAATATATATATATTATTATAACAGTAACTTGATCCGAAGAGCCGTATCACGTCGAGTTGACAGGCACGGATCATCAGATCAAACGAGACGCGAAGCGTCGAGTTTGATCTGATGATCCGCGCCTGTAAACGAGAAGTGATACGCCTCTTTGGATCAAATTACTGTTATAATGATAAATTTATTATATACCCCTTTACAACTAGCAAAGTATAATAAAAGGAAAACTTTTTTGGATCAATTACATAACTTTTATCCATTAAACAAACCATTTTGTCAATGAACTTTTTGATGCGCGAGAATAAAAACGTCATTTATCTGTGTACTACGTCATCAGTTTCAGAGAGGGGTGATATGGATTCAGAAAACCACAGTGTGGTGATCCGGAATGTCGGATCACACCGTCACGTGATTGCATAAATTCAACAGTAAAACTGAGTTACAAACAGTTGGGTACATAATAAATATAGGGAAACCTCTTATCTGTAGAGCTGGGAGTCGGAAAGGCCCAAGAAGTTCTGATTCAATGGTCCATTGAATAAAGTAATTAAGATCTGTCTTATAAAAATGTAGAGCAGCAGGTACTGTGACTGGTACTCTTTGAATAGGGACCTAGATTATAAGGAACTACAAGTAATTGTATCCTTAGGAACTTAGGACCCAAGATTATGTACATAATTAATCAAAATTATCATTTTTTTTTAGGTCTACTAAGAAGTCCATTGGAACATACTCAAAGGCACATCATGAATACAAGCAGAGAAAGAAAGAGAAGGAGAGAAAAAAGCAGGTAGGTTTATATTATTTAAAGGGTCTCATCCCTTGGGCTTTGATATCAGCATTAAGATGAGCTATGAATACCAGTGATTTGACCATACTTATGTAAGTCTTCATACAAATAGGAAATTATTATGAGTAAGTTATGGTTTTTTCATTCATCCTTTGAGCTTGTGAAAGTATTGTTTCTAATATATGACATGTGTTTATTGCAAGTTATTTCATACATGTATAAAGCTCGTAACATGAGATTTGAATGGTTAGCAAGCTGAGTGAAAATTTCTGTAGACTAACTTGAGCCATGCTTCTCTATCAAAAAAAGTAAATGGCATCATGATGCATTGTAGCACTTAGTAAATCTTACCATTGGTTTGAAACACCATATGAATAGACTTAGGTTACAAAGAAATTATTGGTTAAAAAAGAAATAAATTCGTTATCCAGGTTCAATCAAGGGTGTATGGGGATTTACCCCAGGTTGTATTCCATACATTCTGAGGGTGTCCCCTTACACCCTTGATTGAACTTTGATAACTATATATGACACTTTTTTACATCCACACATACAATACTGTACATTTATGAGCTGAAGTAGTTAAAATAGGAACATGATTCGAAACTCTAATTGAACTTCCTTTTGGTTCCTAAAAAGTAGTTTGCTTTTTTCAAATGACTTATAGAAACAAAGATTTTGAAAATAATCTTTTAACACTAAAACTTACACTGTGCCTTTAATTACCACTTCAACATTAAGTGAAATACATTTTAAAAATATAAATGGATTTGAAAAAAAAATCATTCTCAATTTTCTTTGAAATACTGTAAACGCCGTTTGTCCTGTGTTATTTTCACCCTTTAATACTTGCAAACAGTTCTGCTCCATTTTAAATTCATGCTGTCTTCTTTGAATTTGTCCAGTAAATTTGCCCACTTGCAATGAGAGCTAAAGGGGCTGAAAAAAATTCCATGTATACAGTATTCATAAACAGCCAGATAATTCATGCAGTTCTGGCCTCTCAGTTCTCATAAAATTCCATGAGTTTAAGGCTACATGACCTGTATAATGTGTACATGTACAAGTATTTTCAAAGCAAGTTTTTCCTGTGAGGGTTTTGGTCATGGCATTTTTTTAAGTAGACTAGTGTAAGGTGGAAATTTCTTTATCTTTGACTTACTTTAATTTCATGTTGTTAAAAATAAATAGAATCTGGTATCATTTAATGCTGCTCTTGTGAAATTTGTAGGAAGCAAAGAAGAATAGAGAAGCTATGGATGCAGCAATAGAAAAATACAACAAAAAGAAACAGTCCAATTACAAACTACTCTGTAAAAGAACAAGTAAAGGACAACCTGTAATGAAACATCAGATAGACTACTTGTTAGAAAAAATCAAGAAACAAAAAGCAAAATCATGATTTGAATTCGTATTTGAGGAATACTAGAGAGTGGAATTTCAAGTGATTTCATCAGTACTTGGAAAGTGATTTAAATCGACAGCTTTCTGACAGTACTGTGATAAATGTGTAACTTGGTGTGTGTGAACTAGGGTTTGATGTACAAGAAGGAAACTAGACTGTTTGTTGTTTTCTGTTAAAGAGAATGATGAACATTTTATCTGTGTATCACTTTATTATATCCCATTTGAAAAGTGGGGGATGTATAGTGATGGGAGTGTCCGTTCATCTAGCTGTTGGTCTGTCAGTCCGTTCATCCAGTACACTTTTGGGTACCCGGGTCTTGTAATCAACTCTTCTTATAGCACTGATATAAAAAGAGACTTTCACAGCATCTTTATTACATAGTGCCATTGTGCACCTATTTGATCAAACAGATATTTGAGTAAAACATTATGCAGAAAAACATGGATTTTGCCAGTCTTTCTATAATATTGGGGTACCGTCTCTTATCTGTAGCTCCACCTTTACCACTGAATAAAAATCAACGAGACTTTCACAGAATCTTTATTACATAGTGCCATTATGCACGTCCTGATTTACTTTTTGATCTGACAAATATTTGAGGATCTCAAACCAAAACATGAACACTGCTATTATACTTGATAAAGAGGATACCCATTTTGTTAACTCCTCCTAAATTTTTGAGTAAGATTCAGTGGAACTTTCACAGAATCTCATATACATATCGTATGGGCAAGAAATGCAGTTTGCCATTATTCTCATATGGAAGTGGGGGTATCATTTTGTGAGCTCATTGCTTACGGTATCTCTAGTTTAATGCCAGAGTTGTCAAGTTGCTGTTACTTTTCTGTTTATTTGATAGTGCAGGAAACTTGTCATCCACTGAAAGAACTTAAATTAAAAAGTTCAAGAAGTGACTAGAAATGCCTGCAGATTGTTACATCTTTGCTTGTATAATTGTGTACCAGTGGAGTCTATGCTTGTCTGACGGATGTCCACATTGAATTCAAACGGGAGAGACAGAGAGAGAGAATTTGAATAATTTATGTTTCTCTATGTTTACAACTTCATTAATTATAAATATATTGCATTATTTACTTCTTATAAGAAATGGACAAAAAAAGTCCTATTAGGTTCTGATTTCGAAATTTGATAGGAATTTTGGGTAGGCAAGTTCGTAACTGGAAAACGTAAAACTTTATTTTGTACATGTAAATAAGGACCATAAGGCCTCTTTGATTAAGATGTAAGTTATTCCCTGTAATGTAATACATTATTGATTTTTGGGATGATTACATGTAATAGACCAGAAAAATATCAATATTGGTATTTTTTAGTCAATGTCAAATCATGTTAACCACCTCAAAAATCTTTAACCCGCACAATTTTCATATATTCTGTTTAAAGACCCTATAAAAATATTCAAACACAAATATAATTTTTTTAAAAAATATAAATGTCATTAGCTAAAGCATTATTACAGTATATACAGTGACTATGAATAGATTAGTTTTATTTACAATCATTGGCGTGTGTTCCAGTGTGATCGACATGCTTCCGGTGATGAACTGTCTTGAGGAACAAGATTTTCACAGAATATTTGTTACATAGAGCCATTGTGCACGTCCTATTTTACTTTTTGATCTGACAAATATTTGGGGTTTCCCATAGCAAAACATGAACACTGCCATTATACTTGATAAAGAGGATACCCATTTTGTTAACTCCTCGTTAATTTCTGAGCAAAATTCAATGGAACTTTCACAGAATCCCATATACATATGGGCAAGAAATGCAGTTTGCCATTATTCTCATATGGAAGTGGGGGTATCATTTTGTGAGCTCATTGCTTACGGTATCTCTAGTTTAATGCCAGAGTTGTCAAGTTGCTGTTACTTTTCTGTTTATTTGATAGTGCAGGAAACTTGTCATCCACTGAAAGAACTTAAAAAAGTTCAAGGAGTGACTAGAAATACCTGCAGATTGTTACATCTTTGCTTGACGTATAATTGTTAATCTCGGTGGAGATTCGGCTCGGTTAGATATTTGGTCTGACGCCCATCGATGGGCGTCAGACCAGATTTCTAGCCGAGCCGAATCTCCACCGAGATTAGTATAATTGTGTACCAGTGGAGTCTGTATGCTTTGCTGTGGGGCGTCCACATCGAATTCAAACGAGAGAGAAAGAGAGAGAATTTGAAAATTTATGTTTCGTTATGTGTACAATTTCATTAATTATAAATATATTGCATTATTTACTTCTTTTAAAAAATGGGACCAAAAAACCATGAAATCCATGTAGCATCAACATATCTGTCAGTAGCATGCCTCGGTTTAAAATCTGATCGTATTCAGAGCATGCTCTTGACCATGGAATAAGATTGGAGACATAAACACCATATGCAGGTGATAGCGGAATAATACTATATATATAAAAGGAATTAAGTTGACGATTGAAAAGTCGCAGTTATCTTTTTTGTCATAGTTTACTTGCATGTATCGGGTCGACATATGAATGGAAAGTAAATATTGTTAATCAATAAAATGTCGATATATCTTAATCGGTTTGAAGGTCACAACAAGCGTTTTCTTCTTTTTATGTAGAAGTTTTTGAATAAATTCTGCTTCATACGTAAAGCAAGTCCTATAATAAAGGAGCACAGTTAGCGTCCATCGTAATTTCAACAATTTGATGGAAGACCTTGTCTCTAAATACTATAATGTGGTCAATGAGGAGCTCCAATATTCTTTTACTATCATATTCAGAGTTCTTGTTTGTAGAATCGGAGTGATTTTTAACAAAGTAATTTTGTTGATGACCAATCACAAGTTATGGAATTTTCCGAGTTCCATTCTTATTAAAGAAACGGTTGTCTATGTTATCAAAAGGCGTCGGTTTTTGATTTATCGTGAGGAATGGTTAAATGGGGATTAAATAGTCAAGTAGAGATAACTGCTGTACAAAGTCATTGAATGACACCAACACTGAATGTAAAAACAAACAACATTATACAAGATTGTTTTATTAGATATATGTAACACTAAAATAATAGTAATAATAATAATAAAAAATCAAAATGAAATATTCTTTGAGGTAGAATTAAGACTTTAGAAAAAAGAATAAGATTAATAAGCATTAAATATACTATCGAAAGCATATATAACATTTCTTTAAAATATCGGCGATTCCTTCTCTGATTTTCTTGTTAACCACACTGTATACAACTGGATTGGTTGCATGTCCAAGGAAAAAGAAGTATCGAAATACCAAACTATCATATACATTAAAAATAGCAAAGAAAAAGGGAATCCAGCAAATAAGATATATAAATGTACACACGAACATCATGGTCCAGGTTTTTGTTCGAACATATGATGCACTTTTAGAGAAACGAAGTATTTTCTTTCGATTTTGAGTCTTATTTTTCCTTGTTTGACTTATTTGTACACCGTCCTCGTGTGATGATGACACTCCATCAACCAGTGATGCTGTCCTCGACTGTGCAGCTGAACCTTCCTCTGTGTTTTTCAGTGCAGAGGTCCCTGGTTGTGAATGAATCTGAATACTGTCATCATTAGTTTGTTTGCACAATATCCCCTTCTCCCGCTCCTCCCTAGGTTTTTGTGTATTTTCTGATGGCTGTCCAGTAGAATAAGAAACTGAATTCCGAATACGTTTCTTATGGGAATAAAGAATTACGTAGACAATGATGTAAATTATTACCAGCAGCAGAAGTCCAGCTGTTATCATGGCGGAGAGGAAATCCCTGTAAATCTTACTGCCGTTTTCGCCCAAATTAGTCGAAGTGTACCCGCAATATTTTTCAGACGTTTCGGTGCTATGATTGAAGATTTCCGTTAGGTTTGTCTCTTTTTTGTTACCATCGTGACTATGGGGTATCACTTCAATAACAAGCGCTGCGGGAATGGAACAAATCACCGAGATCAGCAGCAGGCCCAGAATAAAAAGAGTTTTCATTTTTGCGGTAACATACTTGTTCATTGGCTTCCAGACTAGTAATAAACGTTCTCCGGCGATCAAAATCAAAATAAGATTGGAAAATACAACTGAACTATGTCGCACAACTTCCATTCCATGGCACATGATGTCATCAGTTATCATATCGAATTCAAAAAAGACCGTGTATGGAATAATCAGGACATTTATAACCAAATCTGCAACCGACAGAGTCATTATGTACTTCCGCACCACAAAGGAATGTTTCTTGATAAAGTATACGATAATAATAAGAACATTTCCTATGGTTCCGCACGTAGCAAAAATTGTCATCAACAAAACAAACAAAATCTGATCGAAATTCATTATACCTTTCTTTGTTTTCACAAACGCATGTAAACGTATATTTAAAAAAAAATCTTTTTTCTGTGGTTTATATAAGAAATTTGCTAGACCTTGTGATTTGATAATATTTTTCATTTAAAAATTCTTATGATGCTGACAATGTGTCGGTCAGCTAAGCTTTACGGGGCAGTAAGTCATCGTTAGTGTCATCTCGTATAGGCGCTCAAGTCATCAACAACATGGATTTACTTCTTATGAAATCTCATCTTAAAATAGATACTAGTATAATATTATTATGTTTATCGGATAAACATCCTTTTTTTATTTAGTTTTTAGATAAGACTTACATAATGCGTTTATTTTAAAGTACGATTTTATGTGTATGCAGTTCCATTTTATTTTTTAAAAATTATATTTATAGAAAGTTAGTAATTTTCTTTTTTGTTTAGTTTTATGGTTTGAAGAATAATTTTTTCACTGTTTGATCATTGTATGATTTAATTGACTTTCCTGTACGTTTGTACAACAAATGCAGTAGAAGAGCGTACAAATGTATGAGATATTACGTGGAAATTTACATTTTTGACTACATATAAGTACAGCTTATATGTACAATGAGAAGCAACCCTATAATGCAGGAATACATGTACTTCTAAAACGGATCTTTTGTAGATTGAAATTGAAAAAAAAAACCGGATTTTAATTAAGGTGTTAACATCTTTGGTTTATGGTACAATATGTGTGGTAAAGTGTGTGGTTTATGATAAAATATATGTGTTAACATGTGTAGTTTATGAAACAATGTGTGATAACGTGCATAGTTTATGATACAATATATGTTTTAGTATGGGTGGTTTATGATAAAATATTTGTGTTAGCATGTGTGGTTTATG